AGCAGCTGCTGCTGCTGCTGCTGCTGATCGAGGCAGCAGCAGCAACGCGCTGCTGCGACGAAAGGTAATGTGGTTTCTGCTGCTGAGTGCTTCGGTGGGGTTGCTGCTGCAGCAGCTGTCGGAGAGAAACCAAAGAAAAACAACAGAGCTAGAGCTGCAGCAGCTGCCTTCTCTCTCCCAGCGGCTGGTGCGGGCCCGGGAGGGGCCCCAAGACAATGATTTATTATGGGGGTTGCTGCCGCCTAGCTGCCGACAGCAGCTGCAGCAGCAGCTGCAGCAGCAGCTAGCTGACGCAGAAGCAGAAGAGGTTAGGCTTTTGTTTGAGTTAGATAGATTGAATATGCAGAGAGAACTAAAAGAGCAGCAGCAGCAGCAGCAGCGGCAGCAGCAGCAGCAAAGGCTAGAAGCAGCATCGCTCACACACCTAGGAGAAACAGGTAAACAACTATCTGAGCTTCGTGCTGCTGCTGCATGCGCTAGGCATGCAGTAGCGGGGCTGGAAGCAGCAGCAGATACAAAAGCAGCAGCAGCAGCAGACACGCTGCAGCAGCTGCAGCAGAGACAGAAGGCACTGCAGCAGCAACTACAAGCAGCAACAGAAAGACAGCAGCAGGTGCAGCAGCTATTCGAGCAGCAGCAAAGCATTGCTGCTGCAGCAGCACAGCTGCAGCAGGAGCTGATAGAGGAGCTGCAGCAGCCGGAGACAGACCCAGTGCAGCAGCAGCAGAACCAGCAGCTGCTGCAGTACATTGAGCAGCAGCAGCAGCAGATGCTGGAGCAGCAGCAGCAGCAGCTAGGAGAACAAGCACAAGCTAACCTAAAAAAAGAAATAGATAAACTCACCAACGAGCTAGCTGAGGCCCGCGTGCGGCTGCGAGACATCAACAGCAAGTGGTGGTTCCAGCGCCAGCAGCAGCAGCAGCAGCAGCAGCAGCAGCAGCAGCAGGAGCGGGATGGTGTATTGGGGGAGCTGGGTGGCGGCGGGGAGGCTGCAGACCAGCAGCAGCAGCAGCAGCAGCAGCAGC